TGGTCACTCTTCCCTCGCTGCAAGGTTCTGTCCCTACCTTCCCCCTTTTCTTAGGGCAGGGTTTTTTCCCCTTACAAGTCCCCTATTCCTTAGCCTGGTAGACTATTCTCCCCCCTAATCTCGTGTCCATATTCACTTCTCTGGATCGAAAAATAGTCTCACTCATTCCTTTAGGACCAAGTGACCCACGAACTTGGTCGCACTTGGTCCACTGGGAAGTGCCTTGAAAGAAGACATTCGGACATAAATAGGCACACCTCACTTCCCTAAAGTCACTAATTAGTACTGTTGATAAGCCAAGATTGGAGATAGTAATGCCAGGCCATGAAGGATACAGTGAGTGCAGAAGTGGCACAAGTTACACTGCAGGCGATGAGTCACAATAACGGGGCTAAAGTAAGTTGACCAGACCACACAGACAACGACGTTTCGGTCCGTCCTGGACCATTCTGAAGTTGATCAACAGATCGAATTGAGAATGGTCCAGGACGGATCGAAACGTCGTCGTCCCTTCACCTTCTAGTGTGTGGTCTGGTCAATTTACACTGGACTATGACAAACAGTTTGGCAACTATTAATATATAAAAAAAAGCAGTTTTAAGTAGGAATGAATATTAACTCTTACTGATGGAGGCCTTCCACCATGACATGCCACACCAGACAACCTCACAGGAACACTGTCACATGGAAACGTAACCTAATGGAAGCAAAAACTAAATATTTTCTGAGCCAACGAGTTAATAGACCTATCCTGGCTTCACTATTCCTAACCTTACCTATATCAATGCCCTCGCAACATTGTCCGCCTCCCCTATGCCACTACCCGCCGCTATCCTCCCATACACCGCCATGCTGGGGCACGAACCCACAGTAATCTCAATTACTACCTACGACTCGTAAACCGCCCCATCCTCTTTACCCATCCTGAGTACACCCTCCCCTTCTCCACCTGGACCCATCACTTACCCTCTCCTGCCTGGATACACCCCCTCCCCACGCCACCCCAGCCTAGATTCATCCCTCCTTTTTCTTCCCTTCCCCCTTACCTCCCTTACCCTTCCCTGCCCTGCCCTGCCCAGGCTGGGAACCTACACCTTCCCTACCCTTGTCAAACCCACCTTCATAATTAGTACATAATTCCCATAGCAAGGACGTGTAATGTTGGTTTTCATTTACTAATTTTAATAGTTAACTGCCCAGAAGTGTCATACACGTGGAGGGGGGAGAGAGAGAGAGAGAGAGAGAGAGAGAGAGAGAGAGAGAGAGAGAGAGAGAGAGAGAGAGAGAGAGAGAGAGACGGACTGCATGACTGTTAAAATACCTGTACATCGTGTCAGCAAGGCGGCCAGCAAGACTACAATAGCTCTCACTATAAATATACCATTAATGCAACTTCCCATCACCTGCATTCCTTTTCTCCCCTTTACCTTCCTCCCTTCCTCATCCACCTTCACCCGTTTCTCACCAACCATTTCCCCCTCCCCCCCCCCCCCCCCCATCACAGTGCCCCCCCCCCTCTCACCTTTGTGAATAAGATCTATTCTCTGAGAAGTGGCAAAAATCTTTCGTGACTAATGAACAACAGTTTTTGTCTGTAGCTTGCGAGGTGTGGAGCAAATACCCTTGAACTAGAGGCACGTGTCTTGAGGTTATCTTGAGATGATTTCGGGGCTTAGCGTCCCCGCGGCCCGGTCCTCGAACATGCCTCCTTTTTGTTACACACCCCCAGGAAGTAGCTCGTAGCAGCTGTCTAACTCCCTGGTACCTATTTACTGCTAGGTAACAGGCTGTTGTGGGTGGTAACCCAGCATCCTACTCTGCATATGCCAATACGTAACAAATCCAACCTCCTAACCTAACCATTTTTTCTTTTGTGGAGGGGGGGGGGGGAATATTTCTGTGCGGGCCCTAAGCCTCTGGCTGGCCCACTAAGTGTTACTTAGTTCTGCCTTAGGTGGGATGAGGATATATGTATAGTTTGACTAGTCATATATATCAAACTATTATATATATATATATGTGTGTGTGTGTGTGTGTGTGTGTGTGTGTGTGTGTGTGTGTGTGTGTGTGTGTGTGTTACTACTCATATATATATATATATATATATATATATATATATATATATATATATATATATATATATATATATATATATATATATAGAGAGAGAGAGAGAGAGAGAGAGAGAGAGAGAGAGAGAGAGAGAGAGAGAGTAGTTTGACTAACCAAGAACGTACGAACCCAAGCAACCCACCTAACCTATTGGGGACAACGCATAGAAAAGTAGATATTTGTGAGCCGTTACTTTTTATTGTAGCTTGTATTGGTAACGCTGGTCACCATAACGTACAAAACGCGACCTATTAGTTTGAAGGACGAATTGTCATGCCCGCTCGTTAATGACCGCTAGTTGGTTAAATCTCTGCTTCTGTTCCCACTGTTTACGCTTCCCATTGTCTGTTAGGCTTATCGAGGTCCTCAAACCCCTCCCCCTAAGCTAACTACTGATCTTCCTCCAAAATGCCGCCCACAACAGTCCCCTTGCTCCCAGGTACCTATATTCACTGATAGTGAACAGACGCAAAGTACTGTATAAAATACTGAACTCTTCCTAACAAAGTATTTTATCAAATATTGATGACATTTTTAAATATTAAATGTCTGCCCATTATCAAAAGGTCTCGACACAGTCCCTAAATATATACATTATGTCAAGTGTTCGTATTAGCTTGTATATTAGGGTGTTCGTATTAGGGCGTTCGTGGCTTCGTAATCCTTTTAAACCCATTTATCCACAAGTCTGTCTTTAAACCCATTTATCCACAAAAGGTCTTCGGGAGGTGCCTTCGGGAGGTGGAGATGTTTGAGATATATATCTCGAACTATCTACTTCTTTTGTAAGGTCTGATGGCGTAGTGGGTTAAAGCATACTAGTTATGCCAGCTACTGGAAGGTAGTTGTGCTTTCTGGGTTCGAGTCCCACTGGTGGGTGTTGTCCAAAGATTATATATATATATATATATTAACACGATGTACTGAACGGGGTGAGAATAGCTTGAGCTACCTCGTCCCTTTGTGTGTATTTATACCTCCATAAACTTATATGTAATATTAATTCAATTACTTACTTACCTCTCCAATCTGCCTTTTACGCAGGGCGCTCCCTCTTCTCGATCACAGCGAGGACAAGAACCATTTCACCTACAGCGATGTCGCTGTCCAGGGGCCAGATTCACGAAGCAGTTACGCAAGCACTTACGAACGTGTACATCTTTCCTCAATCTTTGACGGCTTTGGCTACATTTATTAAACAGTTTACAAGCATGAAAACTTCCCAATCAGCTGTTGTTATTGTTATAAACAGCCTCCTGGTGCTTCGGAGCTCATAAACAAAGCCGCTAAAGATTGAGAAAAGATGTACAGGATTGTAAGTACTTGCGTAACTGCTTCGTGAATCAGGCCCCTGAGTTCGTCACGTCAGGCACTCAACACCTCAACCCGTCCTCGACTCAAGTCCATTCCATCCAGCGGTCGACCCCACAGACGCATTCATAAATTTTAACATGCTGTTCATTCAAAACGGGAATTTTCTCAAGTATAAATTAATATTATAATATATTAGCATATTGTGCATTTATAGGCATAGGTTAGGTGTTAAGGTTCTGTTGGCGATTATTTGTATTTGTAGTACGTGGGTGAAGCATTTATAGCGTTGTGGTTCGGTTCGCTGTGAAGCACTTGTTCCGGAAGTGTTCGAACGTCATCAGTTGTGTCGTGTGTAAACCGTTTTTTATTCATAAACAGCGGGTTTGGCGGGTGCATGGAATCACTTTTGGATCTTTGTTTGAAGGACGGGCTGCACTGCCCGTCCTCCAAACAAAGATCCAAAAGTGATTCCATGCACCCGCCAAACCCCCTGTTTATGAATGAAAAACGGTTTACACACGACTCACAACTGCTGACGTTCGAACATATCCGGAACAAGTGTTTCACTGACGAATTTTGTTCGAATCACAACGCTATAAATGCTTCACCCACGTACTACAAATACAAATAATCACCAACAGAACCTAAACACCTAACCTAACCTATGCCTATATATGCACAATATGCTAATATATTATAATATTAATTTATACTTGAGAAAATTCCCGTTTTGAATGAACAGCATGTTAAAATTTATGAATGCGTCTGTGGGGTCGACCGCTGAATGTAATGGACTTGAGTCGAGGACGGGTTGGGCTGCAACACCTTGGAAAGTCTCTCACGATCGCGAGACTGAGACCTGAGTCCTGGACTCAGTTGATTACATAATAATTGTCTTCTCTGAAGCACGTTGTTGAGTTGATTTTATTTATTATTTATAGTGTATATATTTTTGTTCTCTAGTTTGTACTTTTTGTACTTTTTTGTACTTTTTGTCTAGTTTGTACTGTTTGTACTCTAGTCTATAGTTTGAATTTTTGTTCTCTAGTTTCTAAAAAAAAAATTATATATATATATATATATATATATATATATATATATATATATATATATATATATATATATATATATATATATATATATATATAAAACTACTTTCTATCCCTATCCATGGAGGACAAAAAAATGTATATATGCTCGTTAGTAATTGTAAATGTCTGGCCACATCTGTGGTAGGAAAAAAAATCCACCCACCACCACCCCCTTACACCTTCCCACATCCAGACACCTCTCCCCCCCAACAACAATCCCCCCCCCCCTCAACCATCCCCCCCCCCTCAACCATCCCTCCCCCCTCAACCATCCCCCCCCTCACCCCACACATCCAGTTAACCGTTACCCCCACAAATATGATAATCATTTTAATCACTTTTATCCATTTATAGTTTGTGATCTTAACCAAACCCAAGTTTTTTTTGCTAGCTTTTAAGACCACCTTATACACGACTAACCTTATAGTTTCCAGTTCTTAGGACAAACTCTTCCAGAATATTAAGTTTGTTAACAAAAAGAACTCAGGCGTAGTGCAGCACATCCCGGTGTGGTCTGACACATCCCTGAGATGAATATCTTGGTCTAGCACATCCCTGAGATGAGTATGTTGGTCTAGCACATCCCTGAGATGAGTATGTTGGTCTGGCACATCCCTGAGATGAGTATCTTGGTCTGGCACATCCCTGAGATGAGTATCTTGGTCTGGCACATCCCTGAGATGAGTATCTTGGTCTGGCACATTCCTGAGATGAGGATCTTGGTATAGCACATCTCTGAGATGAGTATCTTGGTCTGGCACATCCCTGAGATGAGTATCTTAGTCTGGCACATCCTTGAGATGAGTATCTTGGTATAGCACATCCCTGAGATGAGGATCTTGGTATAGCACATCCCTGAGATGAGTATCTTGGTCTGGCACATCCCTGAGATGAGTATCTTGGTCTGGCACATCCCTGAGATGAGTATCTTGGTATAGCACATTCCTGAGATGAATATGTTGGTCTAGCACATCCCTGAGATGAGGATCTTGGTCTGGCACATTCCTGAGATGAGGATCTTGATCTGGCACATCCCTGAGATGAGAATCTTGGTCTGTCACATCCCTGAGATGAGTATCTTGGTCTAGCACATCCCTGAGATGAGGATCTTGGTATAGCAAATCTCTGAGATGAGGATCTTGGTATAGCACATCCCTGAGATGGGGATCTTGGTATAGCACATCCCTGAGATGAGGATCTTGATACAGCACATCCCTGAGATGAGGATCTTGGTATAGCACATCCCTGAGATGAGGATCTTGATACAGCACATCCCTGAGATGAGGATCTTGATACAGCACATCCCTGAGATGAGGATCTTGGTATAGCACATCCCTGAGATGAGGATCTTGATACAGCACATCCCTGAGATGAGGATCTTGGTATAGCACATCCCTGAGATGAGGATCTTGATACAGCACATCCCTGAGATAGGGATCTTGGTATAGCACATCCCTGAGATGTGTACTTTCTCCCTGAGACCTGCTCCTCGCAGCAACCAATTTCCAATTTCAT